CAGAGTGCGAGAGGGGTTGGGGCAGAGAGAGGGAGACAAAGAATCCAAAGCAGGCTCTGAGCTGTCAGCACAGAGCCCCATGTGGGGCTCTAACTCATGAACTGTGAGATCATTACCTCAGCCTAAGTCAGACGCTTAACCAACTGAGCCACCCAGGCTCCCCGCCCCAGGCCCCCGCAGGTAGATTCTTAAGGAACCTAGAATTTGAGACTCACTGGCTCTGTGGGCCAGCACTTATTTTCTGAGGCTTCATAGGGTAGGAATAAGAATACTAGTAGAGGGGTGCCTACTAGTAGAGGGGTGGCTCAGTCAGTTAAGTGACCGACTCTTGATTTTGGCTCGGGTCATGATCTCAGGACCGTCGGATCGAGCTTTGTATCGGGCTCTGTGCTGAGCATGGAGGCTGCTTGTGATTCTCTTTCTCTGCCTCACTCTCTGCCCCTCCCCCGCTTATGTTTGCTCTTGCTGTCTATCTCAAAATAAATAAATAAACATTAAAAAGAAAGAATATTAGCAGAAGTTACCAAGGGCAATGTGCTGGAGCATATGGTAGATGTAGTAGAGGTGGTTCATTGGTATGGTGTAAGGGTACAGCAATTGGTGTTGGAGCACCCATAGTTGAATCTTGGCTCTAATATTGACTGTGTGATCCTGAACAAATTATTTTATCTGTTTGAATGTAAGTGTCCTTACCTGCAAAATATAACAATAGTCCTATCCTACTGGTATTATTTAAGTTATATAAGTTTAAATGAGATATTGGTAACACTGTGGAAACCAGTACCTGGCACATGACAGCTACTCAGTTTTTCTCCTATGTTTTATGTAGAGCACCGAATCTTAATTTAGGGTCTCAGATCCATCTGAAAGGGAATTAAGTGGAGAGAAGGAATAAGAACTTATTGTAAGGAAAATCCAAAATCCATATGTTGACCTAGAGGAGACTCTAGGTGGGATAAATTATAGATCTTGCATATGTACATGCAACTATTTAAAAAAATATGAGGTGTGGGCGCCTGGGTAGCTCAGTCGGTTGAGCATCTGACTTCGGCTCAGGTCATGATCTCACAGTCTGTGAGTTTGAGCCCCACATAGGGCTCTGTGCTGATAGCTCAGAGCCTGGAGCCTGCTTCAGATTCTGTGTCTCCTTCTCTTTCTGCTCCTCTCCCGCTCATTCTCTGTCTCTCTCTGTCAGAAAAGTAAATAAACATTAAAATAAAATTAAAAAAAATATGAGGTGCTTATCATAATTACATTAAAAGCTTATTTAAAAGTTTTACTGAAGGGGCGCCTGGGAGTCTCAGTTGGTTAAGCATCCAACTTCAGCTCAGGTCATGATCTCATGGTTCACCAGTTTGAGTCCCAAGTCAGGCTCTGTGCTGACAGCTCAGAGCCTGGAGCCTTCTTTGGATTCTGTGTCTCCCTCTCTCTCTGCCCCTCCCCCACTCATACTCTGTCTCTGTCTCTGTCCCTCTCTCTCTCCAAAAATAAACACTAAAAAAACAATGTAACAAATTTTATACCTTTAGTCAAAGGTTAAAAGCAATCCCTTTATACTGATGTAACAGCATAGGATATCTGTCATTCTTCTGTTCAACATGTCCTAGAGGTCTTAGCTGAAGAAGAAAGATGATAAAGAAAGCAGAAAAAAGGGCACAAGGACTATAAAGGAAATACCAACCTTGTATTTATTCCCAGACTAGTACAATGCATTACACATTTTTAGTAATAGCAGTCTAAATGCCCATGGGCAGAAGAGTAGATAAATAAATTGTAACATATTCCTCAGCATTGCACTGTTGCATTGTGGTCACGAGGATGAATGAACTAGTGTGGGCTCGAACTGGAGTCAGCTTGACATCATTGCCATTCCCTTCTTTAGTCACCTTTGGATCTCAGGGGAAAACCTGGAACTGCATTTCCCAGCATCTCATTGCCATGTGATTCTAGGTTAGTCTTCCAATGAGGCGCATTTGCATGAATTTATAACAGAAGAAAGACAGAGTTCTTATTCGGCAGTGGCAGATGGAAGAAGTTCATTTGCCAGCGCTGCTGAGCAAGCTCTTGCAACTCACTTGATCCAGTGTAGTAGACACAGTTGTCGTCAGCCACCTAGGTTCATGCACAGAGGCTTGTGCATGAAGCAGAATGGTCACTGACAGCACCCTTGGCCTTTGTTCCCCCCAGCCTTCCAACGGTGATAGACACCTCTAATTCTGTGTATCAAATCCCTTTCTGCTTAGGGTATCTGGAGTCGTTCTGCATTCCCAACCAAACTGACACATTAAGTTACATACACTCCCATGGAAAGGTTTCGACAACATGTGTTTGAGTGTATAAAGTGAACTCCAAAATTTTCTGACAGAATTAAAAAATAGGCAAAGCAATATTGCGTATTGTTAATGGATGCATACCCATGTAATAAAAGTTTAAAAACATGCAAAAGAACAGTAAAAACCGAATTCAAGCACAGTGGCTTCCTTTAGGAGCAGAGAAGCATAGTCGTTGTGGACACTTGTATGGAGGATTTCAGTTATCTGCATGTATGCATTTACGTTATTTTCTAAAAATTTTCTAGAGTAATATGGAAAATTTGAAAGTATGAATAAAGCTGGATGCTCTTTATATTTTTCTTTATATTTGTCCCTCTGTGAGAGTAATTATAATGAAAAGGTACCTAGTTTTTGAAAATCATGATATTTGCCATTGGATTTGATGGCCTCTAAGTCTAAATTTCCAGCTCTGAGATTTAAAAAAAATAATAACTTCCAAAATGAAGTGTGTGAGATGACAATTATGTAAGTTATATTTTAAACATTTACCGATAAATTTGGTACAATCAGAATTTTGAAACTATGAAAGGAAGATATATATATGTTTGTGAAAAGTTTATTTTATATTTGGAAAGATTATGAAGTGTATTTATTATTTCACTTTTATCAGTAGTACTCCACATTTAACTGAAGACAAATACATTTAGTAAAAAATACAACATGGTTGATATTGGATAGACTATTTAAATTTGTTATTTGGTTCGAGTTATTATTAAAAGAAGTTTGGAAATGTCATATATGATTTTCCTTTAAGTGTTATTTTTCTGTCTTGTTTATAAAATTTAGAAAAAACCCGTGGAACAGTTATTTTTGGCTTATGAACTTCTTGACAAAGCAATTGGTGGGATAAATTTGAATTGCAAATTAAGTACTTTGCCAAATGGATCATCAGTGATTGACCATTGCTATGCCAAGGTAAACAGGGAAACTCTTACATTAGATTTAAGTGCTACTTAGCTTGGCAGAGGGCTGGCCTTGCAAGTAGGTGAGTAAAGCATGATTTGTGGTGGCTTCACTCTCACAGGCCAGAAATCTATTCCCCCCTTCCCAGAAGAAATCAAGAAGAGTGAGGAGTCTTTAAATTTGTTATCAAAGAGGCCACTGGTGAACTTGAAAAGCAGGTTTATTAGCATGCAAACCAGATTGCTAAGGGTTGAAAAGTGAGCAGAATTTAATAGCTTTGAGTAAAATAATAACTTGAGTGATAATAGGATAGAGCTATTTTTAGTATGTTTTGATAATTGCATTTCTTTTTTATTTTTACTTCAATTCTACCAAAGTATACCCAGGATACAGATGGAGACATCTGCAAACCAGTCACACCGAATAGTTTCATGATGGATTTACATCTTGAACTAATTCAAGCCCAACACCGAATAGCTGTTGTGCTTCTTGACCAATTGCAAGGTAGTCGTCATCAAAGCAAATAATTTGTCCTGCATCAATTTTAAGATAAGTTCAAGTATAGAATCAACTTAATTTGTTAGTTATTCTCTTGTTGACAGAGTGTTTTCCAGATAAATTTCATTATTTTCTTTTCTTTTCCCTGATTAATATCAATAGATACCTTTCATTATTGCTTTATACCCTGCATAGCAAATCCTTTAGTAAACTTCTAAAAAATTAAATTAATTTTGTTTGAATTATAGTAAATTATTGATTTTTTTAATTAAATCAACCAAATATAATTATTGAGTGCCTACTTAGATCCAGGAACCATATTATATTTTGTATAAATAAGATACAACCTCTAATTTTGAGCTTCTAGATACATAAGCCAATTGTAACAGTTTAGATTAATAAATGTAACAGAAGTGGGCTCAGAATGTTTGTTATAGGTACACAGAAGAGGAGAATCTATAATAGACAAGAGTCAGGGATGGCTTCCTAGAAGAGGTGATAGTTGACCAGAAGGCTAGTAAATATCTTTATGATGAAGAGTGAAAAGAAAGCAGTCATTTGGAGAGAGAAAATAGCCTTTAGCAAGCTGGAAACCAAACAGTAATATCGTGCAGTTAGGAATTGCTGGAATTCTCTTATGGCTGGAATAAAGAGCACATGTGGGAAAATGACATAGACAAGCCTGCCAAGGTAGACTCCAGTTACATCTAAACGGCTGGGGGGTTTATATTTACCCTGGAAGCTACTGAAGACCTTAGAAAGACATCTCTGACAGCAACTTCAGAACACACAGGACTTGGATCTAACTTCTTTTGGTCTTATTGTTAGGTAAAGGAGTCAAAACATTTTTTAAAAAGATGTCAATAATAATACCAGTGTGCATATAGATAACACGTTTGAGTTTCAAAATAAGATTTAACATCATTATGTCTAAAAACTGAGGTTAAATTCTGATAAAGGTAAGTTACTCTTGGCATGATTATATAGCCAAATATTCATTTAACTACTACTACAGTATAAATTACTAATTATAGAATAGAATCAAGTGTTGCTGCCTAATATACCCTCTGATTTCTGTCTAAAGCATTCTAATTTGAAGGGATACATACACCCCAATGTTTATAGCAGCTTTATCAACAGTAGCCAAATCATGGAAAGAGCCCAAGTGTCCATCGACTGGTAAATGGATAATGATGTCACACACACACACACACACACACACACACACACACACACACACACACTGGAATATTAGTCAGCCATAAAAAAGAATGAAATTTTGTGATTTGTAATGATGTGGATGGAGCTAGAGAGCATTATGCTAAGCAAAACAAATCAGAAAAAGACAAATACCGTATGATTTCACTCATATGTGGCATTTAAGAAACAAAACAAACAATCATAGTGGGGAGAAAAGGCCAACCAAGGAACAGACTCTTAACTATAGAGAACAAACTGATGGTTACCAGAGGGGAGGTGGGTAAGGATGGGTTAAATAGGTGATGGGGATTAAGGAGTGCACTTGTGATGAGCACCGGGTGTTGTATGTAAGTGTTGAATGACTAATTTGAATACCTGAAGCTAATATTACACTGTACATTAACTAACTGGAATTTAAATAAAAACTTAAAAAAATAAAGCATTCAGATGTCACATCATATATACAACTAAATAAATTTAATCAAGTGCTAGTTAATTAATTAATTTTTGAGTACAAACATTTTCCCCCAGGTCAGTAAGATATAATTGACAGATAACATTGTGTAAGTATAAGTTGTACGACTGTTTTGATTTGATACACTAATATATGTACGACTGTTTTGATTTGATACACTAATATATTGCGAAGTGATTACCATCGTAGCATTAGCTAATGCCTCCATCATGTCACATAATTATCATTTCTTTTTTGTGGTATGAACACTTAAGATTTACTTTCTTAGCAACTTTCAAGTATATACTACAGTATTATTAACTATAATCATCATGCTATACATTAGATCCCTAGAACTTATTTATCTTATAACTGAAAGTTCATAGCCTTTGACCAACATCTCTCCATCTCCTCCCAGTCCCCCTCCAGCCCCTGGTAGCCACCACTCTGTTTCTATGAATTAAGCTTTTTTAGATTCCACATATAAGTGATATCATACAGCATTTGTCTGATTTATTTCAGTAGTGTTATGCCCTCAGAGTCCATTTGTCTGGTTGCAAATGGTAGGATTTCTTTTCTTCTCATGATTGAATAATATTCCATGGTGTATATATATAGTGGTGGTATTTTTTATACCACATATTCTTTATCCACTCATCCATTGACAGACCCTTTAGGTTATTTCCATATCTTGGCAATTGTGAATAATGCTGCAGTGCACATGGGAGTACAGATATCTCTACGAGATCTTGTTTTCATCTCCTTTGGAGATACACCCGGAAGTGGGATATCTGGATTGTATGGTAGTTCTATTTTTAATTTTTTGGATGAGCCTCCATAGTATTTTCCACAGTGCCTGAATAAACCTACATTCCCACCAACATTGTACAAGGGTTTCCTTTGTTCTACATCCTCGCCAACATTTGTTATCTCTTGTCTTTTTTGATAGCTGTTCTAGCAGATGTGAAATGATAACTCATTGTGGTTTTTATTTGCATTTTTCTGATAATTAGTGATGTTGAGCATCTTTTCATGTACCTGTTGGCCATTTGTATGTATTCTTTGGAAAAATGTCTATTCAGATCGTCTGTCCATTTTTAATTGGATTATTTGTTTTTTTCGCTATTGAATTGTAGGAGTTCTTTTTTTTTATATGAAATTTATTGTCAAATTGGTTTCCATACAACACACAGTGCTCATCCCAACAGGTGCTCTCCTCAATGCCCATCACCTACTTTCCCCTCCCCCCACCCTCTATCAACCCTCAGTTTATTCTCAGTTTTTTTTTTTTTTTTTTTTTTAATTTTTTTTTTTCAACGTTTTTATTTATTTATGGGACAGACAGAGACAGAGCATGAACAGGGGAGGAGCAGAGACAGAGGGAGACACAGAATCGGAAACAGGCTCCAGGCTCCGAGCCATCAGCCCAGAGCCCGACGCGGGGCTCGAACTCACGGACCGCGAGATCGTGACCTGGCTGAAGTCGGACGCTTAACCGACTGCGCCACCCAGGCGCCCCTATTCTCAGTTTTTAAGAGGCTCTTATGGTTTGCCTCCTACCCTCTCTGTAACTTTTTTCCCCCCATCCCCTCCCCCCTGGTCTTCTGTTGAGTTTCTCAGGATCCACATAAGAGGGAAAATATATGGTATCTGTCTTTCTCTGCCTGACTTATTTCACTTAGCATAACACTCTCCAGTTCCATCCACGTTGCTGCAAATGGCCAGATTTCATTCTTTCTCATTGCCAAGTAGTATTCCATTGTATATTTAACCACATCTTCTTTATCCATTTGTCGGTTGATGGACATTTAGGCTCTTTCCATAATTTGGCTATTGTTGAAAGTGCTGCTATAAACCTTGGGGTACTAGTGCCCCTATGCATCAGCACCCCCGTATCCCTTGGGTAAATTCCTAGCAATGCTATTACTGGATCATAGGGTAGATCTATTTTTAACTTTTTGAGGAACCTCCACACTGTTTTCCAGAGCGGCTACACCAGTTTGCATTCCCACCAATAGTGCAAGAGGGTTTCCGTTTCTCCACATCCTCTCCAGCATCTATAGTCTGCTGATTTGTTCATTTTAGCCACTCTGACTGGCGTGAGGTGGTATCTCAGTGTGGTTTTGATTTGTATTTCCCTGATGAGGAGTAACATTGAGCATCTTTTCATGTGCCTGTTGGCCATCCGGATGTCTTCTTTAGAAAAGTGTCTATGTCTTCTGCCCATTTATTCACTGGATTAATTTGTTTTTTGGGTGTGGAGTTTGGGGAGGTCTTTATAGATTTTGGATACTAGTCTTTTGTCCGATATGTCATTTGCAAATATCGTTTCCCATTCTGTTGGTTGCCTTTTAGTTTTGTTGGTTGTTTCCTTTGCAGTGCAGAAGCTTTTTATCTTGATGAGGTCCTAATAGTTCATTTTTGCTTTTAATTCCCTTGCCTTTGGAGATGTGTCAAGTAAGAAATTGCTGTGGCTGAGGTCAGAGAGGTTTTTTTCTGATTTTTCCTCTAGGGTTTTGATGGTTTCCTGTCTCACATTCAGGTCCTTCATCCATTTTGAGTTTATCTTTGTGAATAGTGTAAGAAAGTGGTCTAGTTTCATTCTTATGCAAGTTTCTTTCCAGTTCTCCCAGCATCATTTGTTAAAGAGACTGTCTTTTTTCCATTGGATATTCTTTCCTGCTTTGTCAAAGATTAGTTGGCCATA